TCATCTGTTACCCTGAGCTCTGGGACTATGAAGGAGAGAAGATAGATAAGGTTGGGTGGAGATCAAAACTAGCCACGTTTTTATTCCTATCTGATAGAATAAGAACTTTCCATTTGTCTCCTCTAAATCAGGGTACCAGTGACTTGGGTTAAACTGGGCTAGCCTGTGAACTCCGAGTCTGTAGTTGGAATTCCCATCCCCAGCACAGGGCCTGACACAAAGCAGAGACCCTACAAGAGGAAGGGGCCAACATGTAAAGCATGGGCTGTGCCTAATGGCATTTGAATTCTCACCAGCAGTTACTCCTCTGTTCTCATCAAAGTCCCTGAAGTCAGGCTGGGCCTCCCGCCAGGTTCTTCCACAGCAGGAATCTATCAGTCCTGCCAGCCAGCCTACAGGAGAGCTTTGCATGCCCTTCACTGTGTCCCAGAATGCCCACCAATCCCAAGGGACACTTTACCCCATGTCCCTGAAGGAGCCCTAGAGTCTCCCTAAAGACTATCTTCTGCCAACCATACTTACTTTGGCTTCTTAGGGTAGATTCTCTACCACTTTGTATACCTTTGGTTAGACATCAGGAACCAAAATCTTTGCTCAGAGCATAGTGTAAGTAGGAGACACAAAGTCAACGTCAACACCCAGTGAACAGAACACACTGCTGTTGGCCCTGCAGAGTGATCCCTGGCTGAGAAGCATCCAGTGGGGTGCTGGTCAGTATAGGACAGGGCTCAGCCTTGTCAAGCAGCCTGTGAAGATCCAGCAACAACAGGAAATTCTTCCTGAAGTGGGGGCGGCTGCAGCTGAAGCTGAGAAGACCAGCCACCCGCTGCTGCCCGCTGCTATTTCTGAAGGAGCCCAGCATGGTTACTCAGGGAGCTGTAATTAAGCTCACCTCTAATTTGATCAGCGAGAGTAGCCTGACATGTGAGACAGTAATTAAGTCTCAACTGAGAGAGAAGCACAAGGTGTTTCTGGACCTCCACATCTCTTGGGATTGATGTGGTTCACATATCCTCCCTCCCCGCCCCCCCCCAATCTCCCCTGTGACACATTCCATGGATGTGAAGGGAGGATGGTCCTCAACCCAGCCCTGGGTACACTTCCTGTCTCTGCTCCACCCTCAGGTCCTCCCCTAGTCAACAATACCCTGGCATTGCAAGTACCTGCCCCATGAGACAGGGCCAACAGGAGCTCAAGGGTTAGCTTCTGGAGCTGTCACTCACAAATCATCTGTTTTTAGTGCCTCAACACACAAGGCAGAGCTTCTATGAGCTGGGTTGGTTTAGAGGGCCCAGCCCTCTCTGTTCTAGTCCTTAGAGCAGAAATGATCACTGCCCACCTCAAGCTCTATGCATCGGCCTCTCAGGCCCTTGGAGGGCAGTCCCCAGGTGTGGGCTCTGGTGCTCTAGATAACACCTTTGGAAATGCTCATCGGGGCAGTGTCCGCACATGCAAGGCAGGTCACCTGCAGAAGAGATACAGGTGGCTTCCTCCGGCTCTCGTCTCCCAGGGAGTTATGCTCAGAATGCCAAGGGGGGGAGGGAGGAGCGAGTTCTCATGACCATGCTCTGTGGTGGTTACTGTGCATAGACTTCAAGATTCCTCTCCCTGTTACATAATCGAGGTATTTTTTTCCCTCCTTATTTTAGATCATGGTGCCATCTGCCCTACTTTTCATGCATCACTAACTTGGGCTGGAGGTTAGATCTGGATTGGCCACCCAGTTCTCTCCCTCATGTAGTGAGAGGCTTGGGAAAGCTTGTTTCCCTATCTATCTAATGAGTACATGACCCCACCTTATGTACATGCCCTGAGAATCAGGTGACAACCAGGCTTCAAACTAGCTGGGCAGAACTGGCTGGGTAACATGTGCATACCTGGCAGCGCACACTGGAGTCTGGTGTTATTGGTGTCCCTCTCCCCAGCCTGGGAAAGTCTCTGATACGAGGTGAGCACACAGATTTGCAGAGTGGAGTGTGAAAGACCTTACAAGCAAGGATTCTCAGGCACAGCCACTAGCTGATTGTGACAGGCAGGGTGAGGCCAGCCTGTTACCTGCTCTGGTACCAGAGCCTCTTGGTGGAATGTAAAACAGCACCAATGAGTACGAAGGCACTGTCTAGTATCCTGCATAAAACCCTTGTTCAGCCTCCATCAAGGGATGGCTTCCTGCTGGCTACAGCCCAGCCCAGGAGGTCTCTGAAGGGTTCCAACCCTACTCCCACAGCTCCAGGCATTGACTTCTCTTTTTATTGCTTGGTGCAAGATCATGACAGGAAGGAGTGGCAGACAGGAAGCAGCAAGGGCTGCCACACCTTCTCCCTGCCTCCCAGGCTCAGGGAGGAGCCAATGAGATAGCACATACTTGGTTCCTGGCAGTATCAGTGTGTGCAGTTACAACAAAATGCAATGGATGGGGAACTTTACAGAAATTTATGTTCACACAGTTCTGGAGGCTGAAGGTTCTAGAGATCTCTCTCTCCCAGGGAAAGATCCCTTCCCCTTCTTATTGGATCACCAGTCTTCCTTATTGGTGATCCTATCAGATAGAAACCCACCATAATGACTGCATTTATCATTAATTACTTCCTAAAGCTCTTCTTTCAAATAGTCATATGGGGATTAGAGTTATACATATATAAACCTGAAAAGGCCACAGTTCTGTTTCAGTGACATAGGGCCTGCTGTGGGGTAGGTGTACATTGAAGTGCCCCTCCTTCAGAGATGGTACATCCTTCAAGAGATCCAGCCTGGAGCTACAAGCCTGAAGGGGCATTAGAAGCAGAGCCTGTGAATGGTTTGCTCTCAGGATGACTGAAAGGCTTCCTCCACACCTTCTCCCAGTAAGAAAAGACTGCTCTTTGCTGTGCCTTCCTAGCTACTCAGGAAGCTGAGATCTGAGTATCATGGTTCAAAGCCAGCATAGGTAGGATAGTCTATGAACTTCTTATTTCCAATTAACTACCAGAAAACTATAAGTGGACCTCTGGCTCAAAGTGGTTAGAGGGCTTGCCTTGAGGAGAAAAGCTCAGGGACAGTGCCCAGACTGTGAGTCCAAGCCTCAGGACTAGCACACATACACATATACATGGTGGGGAGGGTATCTCTCTACTGCAGAGAAGCAGACAGGCTGTGAGGGCTCAGTTGCCTAGATATCCCATCTGACTTCACTCTGGAGCTGCCAAATATGCTGTGAGATTGGAGGACTACTTTTGTGTTACTAGTACTTTTGTTTTGAGCTGGTTCTGTCCCATTGTGATCTTGTGTGAGTCACTTTCTCTCTCTGGATCTTGATTTTGTCATCTATGGAGTGGAAGTCTTTGTTCTACCCACCCTGCCTGAGAGTCCCTTACAAAGATCAAAAATAGATCCCAAGTCCAAGTTCACTTTCTGCAGGAAGTGTGACCATTTGAATGCTGGTCAGGACTCAGACCGTATGCCCCGCCCCTTCCTCTAGTTCACAGCTGGATCTACACATGTAACTTCAAAGTGTTAATCATTCTCCTTTATTAAGCATAAAACAAATTCTCCCAAGATGTAAGAATGCCATTTTAAAAGGCTCCAGCTGGAGGTAAGCTCTGTGGTACAAAACATCTTCTCGATATGTAGACACCACAGGCATTACGGGTCCATCTCTGAGCTCTGGAAACCCTTTTGTCTCCCTCCATCCCTCATCCTTGGCTCTCTTCTTCTGACCCTCTAAATAGGCAAAGGGGGCAAAGGCCCCAAAGGCAAGCTGAATTTGTTTAGTGAGATGCTCTTTGACTTGGCATTGCTTGCACTTCATGGCCTGTTCCAGCTTCTCAGGTCCCTCTGACTTCTCCTGCCACCAGGCTTCAGGTCACACAGCAGCTAGGAAAGCAGGAATGCTATTTCTAAAGGGTTCTGCTTCTTTGGTCCCCAAGGCAACGTGGGTCACACATCTTGGAGAGACCTCAGACTTGAGTGAGGGAGAAACAGGCTACCGCTGTGGAAGGGTGCCCTCTAGTGGCAGGCCTAACTCTTCCAGTGAGATGCACGTAGCCAAGCTGACCCCAAGAACTGCCTTAGGTTTGCACTCTTGGCAATGATCATTTGTGTCCAATTATCTGGTCTTTGGGCAATTACAGGCCAAAAAGTGATGATATAGTGTCCTGGCTTAATTAAAAATAAGCTGCAGCAAGAAGGCGATCCATCAACAAAAGCAACCCTGAAGCTCTGCCCAGACCCAAGTAAAGGTGAAAAGATTCCATAGCACCTGGCCTTGATACCACTGCTTCATCTTCAGCTCCAACTAACACCAGTCTACCTTTGGCAAAAACTAAGCAGACACAGACCAGGAAATGTCCATGTAGCCCAAGAGCCACTCAAGTCTAGCACACATCCTCAAATCAGTGGAGAAATCTCAAGTGGAAATCCCCAGAATGACTCCTATCCCTTACACACAGCTGGAAATCACTGGCTGCCAGCCATGAGTCACCAGAGCACCATAGCCCTGCAAAGAGGTACAGGGTGGGTGCCAGAGGGGCACTGGCTCAGGTGAAGATGCAGCGTTGCTCAGAAAATTCACTTCTCAATCCAATGGATCCAAAGTAGCCTGAAGTATGGATGGGCCATTCTTAAGCAATAAAAAGGATAGTTACTGGGTGCCAGTGGCTGACACCTAATCCTAATCCTGGATAAGCCCATTAAGGAGACTGGGGTCATGGTTCACAGCAAGACCAGACAGGAAAGTCCATGAGATTCTTTTCTTCAATTAACCACCAAAAAGCTAGGAAGCAGTCCTGTGGCTCAATTAGGAGAGCTTGAGCAAAAAGCCAAAGGAACAGTGTCCAGGTCCTGAGTTCAAGCCCTAATACTAGCACAAGAAAAGGGAAGGGATAGTTTCATGTCTTCTCTTTAGCTACATATTCTTCATGAACAGAAAAATCTGTCCTTTTAATTATAAGGCTGGCTTACAGATGAAACAAGACAATTTTTTGAACTAATGTTTTGGCTTAACGACATAAAGGAAGTCGGTACTCTATTAATAAATCAATTTTTAATGTACAGATATTTACCAAAAAAAAACCTGTATGAAATTGCCATGTGACAGATATGCACCGTATTTGCCCTGAGGCTTAGGGGCCCCTGTCTGCACCCCCACTGTGAAGGCCTGAGCCATTTACCACATGAAGAAGTCAGGTGGGGCTACTGCTAAAATGGGTTTTCCTAGGGGAATGGCTAATCCATGAGTGGTTAATCAAGAGGTGACTATATGAACTGTCTTCCCCCAACCTACTTCCCCCCACCAGGGCTCATTGGACAGAGGCTGCCAGGAAATGTTTCAGTGTATATAGATCATGTCAGAGACTGCGCCAGGCATGTGGGTCATGATCTGCATTCGGAGCCACCAGTAGTAGTCCATGGGGTGGTAGCGAGTGTATGGGGTGGAGGCGGTCAGGGCATGTGTGACGGCGTCAATGACGGAGGATGTGTCTGTGGAGCCACTGTTGCAGTAGGTCTCCATCTTGGCAATTTTCTCATCGAAGTATTTCCTGCCATAGTCCTTGCGCACGACCTCAGGCAGGTCATCCCACATCTTCTTGGCGATGGCTTGGATGCGCTCGGGGCTGTAGAGGCTGGTGGCAGCGATGAAGTTGCCAGGCTCCACCACACTGACCTTCACACCCAGCGGGTACATCTCATAGCGCAGGCAGTCAGAGAACGCTTCCACTCCGAACTTGGTGATGCAGTATGGGGAGCGGGCTGGATTGGCCATGCGACCCAGCATGCTGCTAATGTTGACCACTCGGCCTATAACGGGAAACAGCAAACACCTGCTCAGGTTGCATTGCCCTGTGATAGGACCAATTTGGAACCACCAAGTCATAAGGCCTTCTCCTTCAGTAGCCAAGGCACCAGCCAGAAGCATCAGCAGCATCCCTGATCTTCCCTAGGGTCTCGGTGGTACCATTACCAAGCAGGAGGGCAAAGAGGACCAAGTGAGAAGCAGGCTTTTATACCAGGAGAACACAGTATAAGGATACATGTGACTACTCAAAACCAGACAGAGCGTGGAGCTCTATGTTGGAGGACTGCTAGTAAGTCCTTTGGGTAGTAATGCCGTGGAAGAAAATGAAGGGAGGACAGCTATGTCAGCGTAGATTTGCACATTTATTGCATGCAGAGTCAGGTGCTGGGATGGCAGTACCATAGGATGTCTCCTTCCTCTCATGGAACTTAACGTTCAAGCTCACACAGTGAGATGGCCAGAGGGAAACACACGGGGAGTACTGACCCATGATGGCGCTAGGGATGGAGGTGGCAGTACAGAAGCAGGAGTACAGGAGTTAGGCTGCCAAGGGGAGCCTGGGGCATGCTGGAAGGGGAAAGGACCTTTGCTGATGAGCTCTACCTCAACATGTGCCTTCCTAGATGAGCCCAGGTGTGCAGAGAAGCAGGCTGGGGAGCAACAAGGATTCTGCAGCTGACCTCAGGGCTGGGATTTAGGACAGAGTTTTGGGCACTTGGAGGAGTGGTGGACTTTGAAAAGTACTCTGGCCCAGGTCTAGCCTGGAGGTTCCAGGGACCCAACACGGCTTCTGTGCACAGCATCCCTAGGAGTGACAGGGCTGGAGACAGAGCCCATGCAGCCCAAGCTATCCACACAGGGAGGGACACAGCGTCCATCTTGGCACTACTAGGTCTGAAGTTATTGGGGAACTGGGTTTCCTTTCAAAACCTACAGCGGCACTGTTTGTTCCTGTTGTTGGCTACCTCTATGAATCTGGGTGCTGTTCCAGGGAGAAAAATCAGTCAGTAACTTCTAAAGTGGTTTGTTGAGGAGATGGCTTACATGCTCAGAGGTTATGAAGTAGGATGTTTCATCTGTCTTCCTATTTTTTAATTTTAAAAATATTTTTAATTTTCTTTTCGCCAGTCATGGGGCTTGAACTCAGTGCCTGGGCACTGTCCCTGAGCTCTTTTGCTCAAGGCTAGCTCTCTACCACTTTGAGCCATGGTGCCACTTCTGGTTTTCTGGTGGTTAATTGGAGAACAAGTCTCTCAGACTTTCCTGCTGGGGCTGGCTTTGAATGTCAGTCCTCATATCTCAGCCTTCTGAGTAGCTAGGATTACAGGCATGCACCACTGGTGCTGGCTCCAAATATTTAATCTTGATTATTATTATCTTAACCTAATATTACCCTGTCTCATTTTTCCAGTTGTGGTGTTATAATGTAGTAGAGATACTAACGTGTCTTTAATCACATGCTATGATAACACGTCCACACAGCACTTGCACAGGTTATTATTTCTCTAAGTTAGGTGCCTAGCATGAGTGTTGCTATGTTCTTTAAGTCTTCAGTACACAGACAGACAACCCCTCAGTTGTTCTATTTTCTCTCGCTTTCTCCTCTCTTTGCTTCTTCTTTTTGTTTTTGGTGTCAGTACTGGGGTCTAGGTGCTGTCCCTTAGCTTTTCCCCTCAAGACTAGTGAGCCACTACCACTGGAGACATACCTCCACTTCTGGCTTTCTTTTCTTTTTGATGTTAATTGGAGATAATCTCACAGACTTTCCTGCATAGGCTAGTTTTGAACCTCAGTTTTCTGAGTAACTAGGATTATAGGTGTAAGCTAACAGTGCTGGTTATCCCCCTCCCCCGCATTTTTTTTTTTTTTGAGACCAATACTGCTATGTAGCCTAAACTGGCCTCCAACTTAGGTCTTCATGCCTTAAGTGTTGGGATTATAACCATGGACCACCACAATGCCTGCTTACTCTCTCTCCCTAGCTAGCCATGCACCTCTGTCAACCTGCACCCCTAGGCCCAACAGAGTCCCAGAACTCAAGATCTTAGTCTTGCTGCTGTAGATGTTGGCTTGGACAGGGCACGTGTCTCTATTCAGTGCAAAGAAGACTAAAGAGGTCCAGGGGGGCAAGAAGATGGTATTTTCCCAACTCACCTTTTGCTCTTCTGAGAAGAGGGAGGAAGGATTTTGTTGTCCGCACCGTACCCCAGAGGTTCACTTCTGCCACCTCCTTGTAGGTCTCCATGCTGGTAAACTCCACTTCCCCAAATGTGGAGATGCCTGCATTGTTAACCAGGCCCCACATTCCTGGATAGAAGAGGAAATGTGGCCTCAGTCTCAGATGTCACCCTTGGCCCACTCTGCCCCCATGACTTCCAGCCCCTGTCCAAGGGCTCGCAGGAAACTTTCTAGATAAGTTTCCTCAAAATGCCAGGAGAAAAAGTGAGGGTTAAATCATGTCACCTCTGCCTAAATTACCTGAGCCCATCAGGACACAGCCCTGCCAGGGCACAGCCGGGACCTCTCCTCCCCTCTTCCATTCCCTTCCATACCACCCATCTCAACCACACCCTCAATCCAGTTATTCATGCAGGCTTCTGAGCTTCCCTTATGTCCATCCCCTTGCCAGAAGCCAGGAACATCTCAGGAACCTTCCAGGCCAAGCCCCTTCTAGAGGATTATAGAGTTAGTCTACCTCAAAGGATTAGGGTCATCCATTAAGTTAGGGGCTTAGCTAAACCTTGCTCAGGCCCCAGCCTGCTCCACTCTGGGAGCTTGCTAATTACCCCATTCTCTCATCTTCTTCCTCTGAATCACGGTGGTCTGCTGGTTGCTACAGGTGGGTCTGGTAACTCAGAAATCCCTAGTCACCAGAATCCCAGCTGTATCTATCTGTCTGCTGTTAGAGGCAGAAACCAGTGTGAGGCTGCAGGCGTGAAGGACACTCAGGTGGACCTGGGCTGACTACTTCTTGCAAGATGAGCTAAAGGCCAGCTGGCTATTTTCGTCTCAGAGAGGATTGGTGCTAGAAGGTTCCTGGAGTTCATTTTGTTTATTAACTAATCTTACAGTAAAGGAAACTGAGTCTCTGAGACCAAAGGACAGACAGGTTTCATTAGTAGGCTGAGGAGATAATCCTGAACTGAGGGGCAAAATACAGCAGGTTTGTCTGGCAGGACCTTCCTTGGGTTCAAGTACAAAGTGTGAACAGGCCAGGCTTTGGTCTCTTGCAGCCGGACATCCTGAGCGCCTTCCCAAGGTGCAGCCTCAGCGCTGAGCCTGCTCCCCAGATGCCTCTTTGCCTGTGGGAGCCCAGCCCTGCCATGCTTTCTCAGTTGGTCATGGAAATGAGTTTGTGTAAATGACATGTAATTGTCCTCTAGTTGCTTTCCTTCCGTCTTGCTCAAATTAAAGCTTCATGAACTGACCTCTAGTGCTTTCTCCTTCAATTATGGTGAATTAAGAACATTTATTAAGGAGAGGAAATTGCTGGTTAACAGTGTCTCCCACGGTTGCTTCGCACTCTCAGTTCTCATCTTAAGGTCAGCTTGAAGACAACCACGCTTCCCTGAGCTGCCCTCTCACCCCCTCCCAGAAGCAGCAGAAGCCCCTCTCTACTTGCCAAGGCCAACACCTTAGCCTATTACCTTTTCCTCAATCCTTATGCAACTTCAACTTTTCCCGCATCCCCAGTTCCTTCTCTTCAATTCTGTATACATTAGTCGTTTAACATACATTGACTAGGTGAACAAACGTCTACAAATACTAAGTCTCCACATCCTAAAGGACATTTTTATTGGTGATACTGGGTTTTGAACTCAAGACCTCAACCTTGAATTAAGTGAATGCTCTACTGCTAAGCCACACCTCCAACTCTTTTTTTTTTCTGATAGGGTCCCAGTTACTGCTTGCTTATGTACCTGGACTTCAATCTGCCTACTTACACTTGCCACAGAGCTAGGATGACAGATAAATGCCTCTGCACCCACCTATTGGTTGAGAAGGGGGTCCTGTAGACTTTTTTTTCCCCTTGGCCTGGCTAAGAAGAAAAAGGCTTAACTCCATTCTTCCTACCATAACTTCCTAAATAGCTAGGATTACAGGTATGAGCCACCAGTGGCCTAGCTTAAGAGCCTGTTCTAACTATCCCACCCGCTTTCTCCCTCCCCACAGCTAGGCTTCTAGGGACACACTACATTGACCCTCTGCATCCCCTGACACACTACCTTGGGGTCCCAGCCCTACTTATGCTCTCTGGGGTCTCTAAGCGACTGCACGCTGAGGGCTCTGTCCCGAGTCTCCCCACTCTTACAACTCTCTAGGACTCAAGTCTGCTGCTGCTCCTGGAGGTTCTTCCTTCACTTTAACATTGTCTGCACCCTCCCAAACATCAGATAGAAACTTGTACGCCAGAGACAGGAGCCCAGCATCCTAGTCTCACACTGCTTCTCCTGAGGGATGAGGTGGCTTCCTATACTTTTTTGCCTATGCAAGATGGCAGTGGTTTTTTGTTTGACTCAGGACCGTCTCACATGCTCGTGCTTACGGATATGCAGCTCTATATAGTCTTCTCCCACCTCCATTTAAAACAGTGACATCTGACATTGTGCAAGTTCACGACTCCTACATGATGGCTCTGCTGACCTGAGGAGAAGAGTTGACCAATAGCTCTCCAGTCCTCAGTCAATGTTCTGAATACCCCCATCCCCAGCAGCCTTCAGTCCCACATCACTCCACCTCAGTGTTTCCCATGGCTCTCTTCCCCTACGCCAGCCTTCCCCTCTTGCTCTTGCCCACTAATTCCACCTGAGTGTCCCAAAGGCTCCCCAGCTCCCCAACCACAACCAACCCCTCGGGTTTCCCACACTTACTGCACCTCTGCTAATGGCTTCCCTTTCATCTTTAACTCCTCTACAGCTTGGCTTTTCCCTAATGAGTCACCCTGGTTAAGGTGACAGAGATCAAGGACATTTAACATGACTGAAAAAGATCTGAATGACAGTGGCCAGGCCCTGAAATAAGCTTCCAGTTGGTCTCTCCAGATCAGCTCTATAACTCACAGGGTTCCTCCCTAACCAAAGGTATAGATGCTAAATTGTCCCCTATCTGGAGGAGGCAACTGAGGCTGCGCCTTTAGAACAGCCCCAGGGACCTTGTTTACCTACCACCAGCCCTGGGCCAGGCTCATCTTCCTTTTGCCAGACACTCCCTGCTTCCGCGGGTTTCATCCTGCAGAACTAACAAGGCCACTTCCAGGCTTCTCCCCATCTCATTACTCCACGCGAAAGCCTCAGCTGCTAGGCTGCTTTTGTGGCAGTTCTTCCTGGGCTCTCATGGTGGCCAGGTCTAGAGTGAGCACAAGGCAGCTCAAAGTGCACATGCCCACATCACAGATGGGCAAGGTGAGCCCCGCATGGGAGCCATCAGGCACAAGTTTCTCTTTCCAGATTCATAGCATCATGCCTCAGGGCATGAAGCCAGCAAGTAGACTGTTTCCCAACCACAGCTTCTCCCGCCAGGTCAGGGCTATACCCTTTCTGGGACATAGCATACTACCCCATACTAGGGCTCAGCAAGTACTCAATAGATGTTTACTGACTGACTGGTCAGTAACAGTGCCAAGTCGTAACCACACCCACAGCCTGCCAGCTGCCCACTCACCCAGCTTTTCCTTGAGGGAGGGGAAGGCAGGGAGGGATGGCTCCAGATGCCCATCCAGCATCTCACAGTCCTACTGAGGGAAAGGGGCTAGTGGCAGATGGTTGATTGCTCTAATCACACAATCCTCTTCATCTCACCTCCTGAAGCTGGCTCCCCAGGCCACTGTCTCATGGAGCTAGGATGAAGGGCATCAAACCCCCAAAATGCACCCCAGTGTTATGGTGGCACTTATGGCTCCTGATATTCTCCTGTCTTGGTGCTTATGATATGAATCAAAAGGCAGTATGGCTAGTAGAAACGTTCTAGGAGAGTGCCATCTGGAGTTCAAAGTCAGTACTGCCTGAGAAAGGGAGATTAGTGTTACTTCTCTAGTAGGGAAGAAAAGGAGAGAAGGGGAGGGAACTAGAGGTAAAGAGAAGGAAGGGGAGGAAGCACACAAATTCATTATCTAACAGATTAACTTTCTTTTTTCAAATCTTGCTGGGTACTAGTGCCTCACTCCCAGCTACTCAGGAAGCTGAGGTGTGAGGATAATGGTTCAAAGCCAGCCCGGGCAGAAAATTCTGTGAAACTCTTATCTCCAATTAACAATGAAAAAGCTGGCAGTGGAGCTGTGGCTCAAATGGTAGAGCCTTGAACACAAAGGCTCAGGAACAGCACCCTGGCCCTGAGTTCAGGCCTCAGGATTGGCAGGCATGTGCACGCACCCCCAAGTGCACACACACACACCACCACCACCACCACCACCAACTTTCAAATCTTGTTCTAACAGATGCAGTACTGGTTAAGGTCATGGTGCATGGTTAACTCAGCCTCTCAGAGTGCACTGTATGGAAAAGGCAGCAGGGAAAGGTCTGTGTGTCTTGGGGTACACCTCACTTTGTGTGGTTGGGTGAGAGCCCTGCGATCAATCCAATACAGAGGATAGAGGTGTTTTCTATCCTCATGGCAGGGGACAAGGACCATAGCTCTGAGGAGCCCCATTCTGTGCTCAGGTGATGACTCCTTAAATCCTGGGCAATTCAAGTCACAAAGTCTCAGGCTGTAAATCAATGGTTCCCAGGCGCTGACTGCAGCTGTTTTCTCACCTAGTAGTTTATGAAGGCAATATCCCAGCTGCCTAGGAAGGGTGAGGGAGGAGGATTTACCACAGCCAGGACCAGGCAGGCTGGTAATCATCCCAGTGGGACCCATCCTGCCTTTTCTTAATGGGGCAGGAGTGCAGACTCTGACTGTTAATTATTAAACAGATGTTCAGTGAATTCTACAATGCAGCAGCCTGGAATGGCCTATCTAGCTAGGGTAGAGTGGTGGCCCTGAGCTACAGAAATGACACAAGTGACAGTCTGCCTGCCCCTGCTCTCCGCCCAGCTACTACAGTTGCTGCTGGACAGAGTGTCCCTACCCACTGTGCCTAAATGAGGTCCTTTCCAAGGGACTCGGGGGTCAGTGGCATAGACTCGCTCTTCCCTAGGTGCTGCAGCAAGGACCAGCTCCACAAAGCCCATTCATTCCCCACTAGATTCTAGATGACCATGGTCCCTGTCCCCCAAGCTGGACAGCAGAGCCCCTCCTGTCACAGTCTTCCACATGGCTGGGCTGGAAGGACACTTGAATGATCACACTACAGGAACCTTCTGTGGTACTTGATCCTGCTGGCTACTAGCCCACTGATGGGAATCTGCTTTGCTCTCCTAATTCAATGTCGCTCCTTTGGCCCACTGACCACCCTGCCTGGGGGACCCTTCCTGGAAATCTCCTCCCGGAAATCTTAATAAGAATCCTTATCCTTGAGCTATTCTCAACAAGACCTCATCTAGTCTTATCTGAAGGTACCACACCTTCTGCCACAATGGTGAAGACATCACAAGACCAAAACACAACCTTCTGCTACATCTACAACGACACTACAAATCTGAAATTCTCAAATTCAACTATATTTAAACCCTAAAACCATCCTTACCTGATGTATCTCCTATTGTTCCATGCCCTGTTCAGTGATAATTAAATTCTGATTGATCTGTTGAGGTCTCTGTCTCCTTTCTTTTCGTCTGCTAGATCATTCCTAACACTCACCAAACTTGGTATTCCTTTAGGTTTGTGGAACTCTTGTCTGATCTCTATGACAGCTGCCTCCCCTCCCCCGCTACCTTTACCCCAAACCACTTACATCCCCTTTGAGCATGCCTCAGGGTGTCCCATGAGCACCTGAGCTTCCTCCCAGCCCTCATTCTGCCCCTGCAGTGGGGGGTCTAGGTGTGTGAGATGGAGATCTCTCTTGCCTCTTCTACATCCTCATATCCAAGCCAAGTCTGGCCAGCTTGGTCTTGAATCAGATCTGCCCATCACTGGGCTAGACAACAAATCCATTCTCTCTTTTAGCCCTACCTCTCACAGTCCTCAGAGGAAGCTTCCAGGCTGTCCCCTCAGGATAACATCCAGGTTCTCAGGAGATCAGCCACACTCCTTTTACAGGGTGCCCACCTAGAGGACCTCTTCCCAACTTCATTTACTACCAACATCTCCACCAGACTCAATCTAGAGCCAAGGCACTCACCAGGCCCCAGTACACCACAGACTGCTTCCCACCATAGTTCATGTTCTGTTTTCTTCTTAGCCTGCCTGGCCTTCCCCATTGTCTGGTGCACTGAGCCATTTCTACCACCCACCACACCTGAGAATGGACTCATCCCTCTTTCCTGGGCTGCTCGCTCCCTTCAATCAGTTCCCCATTGAACAATAAAGTCCTTAGGGGAGACTATGTCTTGGCCATCTTTGAGACCCTAGTACTCACCCATCTCCTGGCTCAGAGTGGGCGTTCAATGAGCACTGGCTGAGCTGGCTTGAATCAACACATAAAGATTCTAAAGTGGCTTTGGACTATATTTTACCCTGCTGTATTGTACTAGCAGGTTGAATTCAATCCACTTCCTTCTACTATGCAGGAGGAATTAAAGCTACAAAGAAATGAGTCTTTTGGCAGGACAGGCAGGGCCCCTTCCAAATGCTACACACACACACACAAACACACACACACACACACACACAGACAGAAACACACACACACACACACAGAGACACACACACAGACAGACAGAAACACACACACACACACACACACACACACACACACACACACACACACACACACACACACACTGCCCTTGATACTCCAAGGTGCTCTACCTTTCTCTGGGTCATCCAGGATTGATTGGACTGTGGCCACCGCTTTCTCCACCTCCTCACTGTTACATACATTAAGTTGGATGGTTCTCAATCGGTCACTTTTCAAGTTGTCCAGCTCCTGGACTCCAGCATCTCCTTTGTCCTGGAAGAAGAAGGGATACATGCATTCACATCATTCCTTCTTACTCTGGGGCAGACTAGAGCCCCAGGCTGACTGACAATAGGACTAGTGTTCTCTAGAAGCGCCCACCAGTACATGGTTCTAGCAAGCCCAGGAGCACTGATAATGTCCCAATGCCAAGGTAAGTGCACCTGTGGGCAGGATGGAGACCCTACCCCAGCCTCACTAAAGCCAGCTTTCTCCTTGTGGGACTGCAAGCTTAGGTGAGTACAGATAGTGGAGGGGATCCTGGGAGGAGAGTTCATGCCAGCTGTTGGCCCTGTGGCTATAAAATATAAAAGCTTATCTTTTTTAAGCTAGTAATCAGTATTTCTCCTAATTTTTAAAGCATTGGCAACTATTCACATTAAAACAAACACAATATGGTTTTGTCAAAGCATGTCCACAAGTCATATGACCAGACAGGGCTGCCAGTCTGGCACCGCTATGCTGAGACAAGGACCTACCAAGCTCCAGTTAGTAAGGAACCAGAGCCAGGCTCCAATTCCAGTTCAGTTCCTGGCCACTCAGGTGTGACCTCAATAGATACTCAGTTTTTCTGGCTATAAAACAAGAATACTACTACCTGTCCTGCATAGATCAGTATAATGTGAAAATCAATTTTTCAAAAACTTGCTAAACTAGAAAGCACTATACAAATTCAACCCAGTGCTGGTGGCTCACTCCTATAATTCTAGCTACTCAGGAGGCTGAGATCGAAGCATCATACTTCGAAGCCAGCTATGGCAGAAAAGTCTGTGAGACTTATGCAATTAACCAGCTAAAAGCCAGAAATTAAGATGTATGGCTCAAGTGGTAAGCGCTCCAGCCTGAGTGAACAAAACAAGAGGGTGGGACCCTGAAGGCAAGCCCTGGTGTCAACATGCATGTGCGCGCACACGCATACATACACACACACACAAATCAAACATGACAAAAATGGGCTTCATTCTGGAAACCTTTCTTGGGCTTCTATGACATCCTGATGCTGTGCTAGGAACTGGAGACACAAAGAGGAAGAATTCAGTCTTTGTGCTCAGAAGTCAAGTTCAGGGAGATGACCATAGGAGGGTGGCTGGCTCTGGAAACCTATGGTTGGTAATAGAGTCGTAGGAGGCGCAGCACTTCAGTGGAGAAGACAGCTGAGAACAGCGCTAGATGGAGCACTTCTGGATGAGGCAAGGTGCTGTCACCACAGGCCATACATTATAGGCCAAAAAAAGTGGTGGATGTGAGGCTGGAGTGGTGGGCAAAAGTCTGCTTGGGGGTACTGCCTCAGCTACTAGCGGGTCTTAGTAAAAGCAGACATTATTTCCTGAGTGTTTGCTTGCTGAGCATGGTGCTAAGTACTTGGCATGCTTTTTGTCACTAGCCCTACCATCAAGAGGGAGGCTGTATGCTCACATGCCATCCTGTGCTATTATACATGTTTTTCTCACTCAATGTGAAAACACTAACAGTCATAACTTAACTGGCAGCAAGGTTTCTGAGTGGTGAATGGAACAGTGAACTGGAGAAGCTGCAGAAGCCAGGGCTAGCCCAGGGTTCACATAGCTTGCAGTGAAGAATAAGCAAACACAGAACAAGCAAGGCAGGAGCAGGAGCCGGATGGCAGTGTGCATTAGGGCTGGTCAGTGGTCTGCACCAGATGGGCTTCCTCCCAAGCACAGGGAAGCCACGTCACACAATTTCAGAAGCAGCTGTGTCAAATAGTGCTGAATATTGGAGACTATCACCCTGAGGATGAGACTTGAGGGGACATGGATGTTCTATGTGTTCCCCGAGAACAGAGTCAAGGTCAAGAAATGAAGTTTGACTCAGAGTGAAGAGTGTGTTTCTCATGGCATGCAGGGACTGCCCAGGAGCGATCAGGCAATGTGCTGGAGGAGGGGCCCTCCTGCTTGGGGACGGGGAGGAGGGACAGGGTACAGACGACACAGGTATCAGAGGTGGCTCTCCCTCCACACCCCTCCTACCCCTCAAGGGTCATGGCAGTTTGGTTCCTGTCTCAGGGAACATCCCCCAGAAGCCCATAGAAGTCCTGAGTCTCTGTCCAGGCCTGGATCCAGGAAGGCAAGTTATGCCCAATCTTCTCTGCACATAGCAGCCATGGTGGACGCTCACTGAGTCTAAGGCTTGGCTCTAAAGTGACCTGGATGTGCCAGCCTTCCCTAGTTTGACAGCCAGGTACCAGCTCTAAAGGGTGGAGCTCCTGGACTGCTCTCATTCTAAGGGCTCCCCAAAACAGGACTGTCTTCCAGTCCCGGCTGGGAGTTGGGGTGGGGGGAGGGAGCAGCAGTGCCTGGACATCTCTTTTCCACAGATGGCATGTGACACCAGGAAAACAATATGTGGCTTTAATGTGCCTTTAATGGGGTGGTCTTTCCAATGCTCCCTTGGAAGGAACCTAAATAGTCTGCACCTCAAAGAGGTTGCTGACATTGTTTACAGATTATCTCAGAGACTTGCGAGTGTCCTTCCTCTTCTCCTGGCTTAACTAACCCCATCACCATCACTCAGAACACTGTGGACTCTCCCTAGACCTCCCCTTACGCCTCACACTAACATGGTGATATTGCTGATGCAATCCCAAGAAGAAGCCCCTCCATCCTTCTCCTGTCAGACAATCCCAGGAACCAGCCACCCCCAAGCAGCCTCCATACCCTGCTCTTTGTAGCCAGGGGCTGTCAGCTTGCCACAACACCTTCCACCTGCTGGCTGTGGACGCTGGTGGTCTGACCCCTCTGGATCCATCAGCCCACAGGCCAAGGTCTGACTGCCTGGGCCATACCCCAGCCTGGCTCCCCTTCCCAGTCTCTGAAGTATATCCATTTATCCTGCTGTTCAGGGCCAGGCTTTGGTCATGCAGGGTTGGTGTCTGGTAGACTTGGTCTACTATTGCTTGCTCTCATTACCCTGTTAGGCCTCACCTGTAAGGTTTTCTGCCCCTGAACAGTATTTCAGGAAAGTTCTGGAGTTTTTCCAATCACATGACTATTTGTTTAAGGATCTAGCCCAACTCAACCTACTAACAAAAAACTGCAACCGAGCTCAGTTGGACAATCAAACTCCAAAATCTGTCTCCAAATGGAAGCCTAGGGGAGTGTGGAAAGCCAGGAAATGGTAGTGGAGGTTCTTTCTCCCCATTTCCTTTCTCCTTTCTCCTCTCCTACTTCTTCATCTCTGACCTTGTGAAGGTGGGCCAGCCCCGAGGACAGAATCTAATATGCTGAGGCAGCCTGTGTGCTGTGCCCTTGGGCTGTCCAAAGCAGAAGAGCTGGCTCTGCCCACTTGAGTGTACCTGAGTGTATGCAGAGGCCCGGTACCTTTGGGAGCTCCAATCCACATGTGCCTCCTGTAGTTGGAGACAACCTCCTAGCCACCTCACCTTACAGTGAGTCTAGCCAGTCCTCCCTGATGTCCACACAGGGCCAGGCAGCTGTGCCCTGCCGTCCCTGCGCAGCTCTGCTCACTGACCACCCACTCCAGCCTCATTCCTGGACCTTTAGGTTTCTTTTGGTAAATACCAGTGCCACATTCTGTGGGCACCAGCTCTCCAAGCAGTTCCCCAGGCCCATGCTTCCCACCTGGGACAGGAGGGGAACAGCAAAGCACACTGGCAGCTCTTTCTAGCCTCTGGACCTTTCACAGTGCTGAGGCAGGGGCTCATCCTCACAGAAGAGGCTTGTCTACTCGCCCACGGTGTTGTATCAGGTGGTCTTGAACTTCAGGCAGGATGAGGACGTATGTCATGTGTGAGAGTTTTTTCTTTTTTCTTTCTTTTCTCACTCACTAGGGTTTGAACTTAGGACCACACTTACTAGGCAGGCATGCCGAACTAGCCCTTTTGCTTTAGGTTTTTTTCATATAGGGTCTGTGTGTCTTCCCAGAGCTAGCCTCAGTCCTACACATACCTCCTACATAGCTGGGATTAAAGGGGCATTCTATCGTGTCCAGCATGTTTTATTTTTCTTACTCACTTATTGTCTTCTTTTACTCAAGGGGGCTCCAAATTGATTTTGCTATCACTATCTCCCAAGTAGTTGGGATTACAAGTATGAGCCACTGTGCCCAGCTGTCTGTGAGCATCTTGCCACTCATATTAGAAACAGCGGAGAGAGGAGACACCAGGCACTATAACATTTTCACGATGAATAGAAGAAAGATCCAACAAAGGAGCTGAGGAGAACCGGAAGGTATAAAAACAAGAAGCAACACGTCACAAACAACAGTGACTGATCTGCTCCAAAGCTGTGGAGGGGGAGGGGAGGGGGGGGAGAGATGTGAATGATGTGGTCAGTGCATTTGGTGAAATGGGGCTGTTGGCCATGCCTGGTGTCAGGGCCTGCAGGGCTTTCCTGGCCTGGTCCTGTCATGTGTGCCTCCTCTACCTGGATGCCCGGCTTTCGCCACCTTGAACCACTAGTGGTGCCTGGATATGTGACCTCCACCCATTACAGGCACTCCTGTTTGTTCTTCCAGATGGTGATGAGACATCACCTCCCACAGGGCTTTCCACGAGGATAAGGGTACAGATCTGGACCCCACAGCTATTTCCCTCTAGCACTCTGCTCCAGCCACAATGGCATCCTGTTGTTTCTCCAACACGTAGGACATCAACACATCCTCATTACCTGCTCTTTCGCTTCTTTTGGGTGAGGCAGCACTAATTCATCTCTTTGGTGAAGTCCTTCCTTCCAGAAAGCTGAAAGCCCTTGAACGTGTCCACACACACTCTACCTTCCTTTCCTGCTCTGCTTTTCTCAGTGGTTTTGATTATCCTTCCCAGCAGCAGTTTACTTATTTGTCTTATTGTCTCTGTTCCTGCCTTGGATCTAAGTTCCCCCAAAGCAAAGACTTCTCCCAGCTTCTTTACAGGCTACAAACATTGTCAGCTCACTGTGTGTGTTGTGTAAATATTTGCTGAATGAACAAGCAGATAAGAGTGGCAGAGGCCTAGTCTTGATCCAGGCAGTTGAAAAGAAAATAGGATGAATAGGTAGATGATGGATGGATGATAGTGATGAATAAATGATGGATAGATGAGTAGATGATGGATGGATGATAAATGGATGGGCAAATGATGAATGAATGATGGATGGATGGAAAGGCTATGAAGAACAAGTCAGAAAAGGTAAAAAAAGGTATAACCTATTTTAAGCAATAGATGAGCTAGAATGTAATTTTTTTTCTACCAACTACAGAATAGTGAGTCTTGTGGAGGCCAATAGTGAAGAAGACAACCCTTCTCTTACCTTCATCAAGCAGCCAGCAAACACAAGGAAGCCTTTTGAATGCAGATGCTTGGCCAAGGAGAACCCAAATCCACTGTCACAGCCTGTGATCAGGACAGCTTTGCTGCCAGCCTGTCAGAAAATGAGAGTCCACGTTAGGAATGCAGTGTCCTGTGGTAGTGACTCTGCCTCCCACACACACTAGGCAATGGCATTAGTGTTTGATGACTAGGCTAGGCCTCACCCTCCCACCTGGCTCTTGTGTGGAGAAGTACCAAACACCAATGTGCACTGGAAGGAGCCCAGACTCAAGATAAGACCAGGTTCCAAGACTGCCACCAACTCACAATTCACTGTGTTGCCTGGGGAAATGACTTGTGCTTTGGGGACCATGATCTTTCATCATCGGAGATATATTTACTAAGTTTAGGATTTACTGCACATATGTGATTTGTACCCAGTTCCTACCAATTTACAAGAGATGTATGAGACCTAGGGTCTCCACCCTTAGAGTGAATAGGATTATTACTCCATGTTACCATGAAAGTTTCTTTAATGCCCAATGGAGTTAGTGACAGAGCTGCAGCTGAAACTGGGGCCAAGAGATCCCAGAGTCTAACAGCTGGTTACACCCAGCAGGCCTCCACTGATAGCTCCCTGGCTGGAGTGCAGCTTCTTTACTGAGGGAAGGCTTTGGGAGAAAGTGGCTCTGTGGGGCTGGGAATGTGGCTTAGCAGTAGAGTGCTTGCCTAGCAAGCACAAAATCCTGGGTTCAATTCCTCAGCACCACATAGACAGAAAAAGCTGAAAGTGGCACTGTGGCTCAAGTAGTAGAGTGCTAGCTTTGAGCAAAAAGCAGCTCAAGGTCAGTGTTCAGGCCAAGTTCAAGCCCCAGGACTTGCAAAAGAAAGGAAGAAAAGAAAGAAGGGAGGGAGGGAAGGAAAGAGGGAGGGAAGGAAGGGGGGAGGGAGGGTAGTCAGAGTGTCCGAGGGTAGCTCAGGAATGATTCCCAGAGGGAAAGGCCCTGACCATCCTGCTGGTTCCCATGTGGCTGGGCTTTCACTCACCGGGTTCACCTCACTAGCATAGGTCCGACGGCTGATTGGGGTAAAGGATGCTGAGCAAAGCAACAGTGCACGTCTGCAAGAGAACATGAAGCCATGAGCATGGGGATCTGATCCCTCCTTAAACCTTTTTCCCAGGACAAAAGCAGCTCAGAGCATCCTGGGCCACCACCACCTGGTCCAGTGTAGCAGCAATCACTAGAGCCAGGCTGGTATAGCTCAGAGAGAGGCCCTTTTCCACCAGGTGTTGGGTGGTAGACAAGATGCCAGCGTTTAGGTTGTTTTTCTTAGCCACTGTACAGGAAAAGACTTCCTTAGAATAAAGTCATTTCTGGAAACTACTTCTGCTGGGAGGCTCTGCCAAAACTTGACTGACCTGTCATCACTCTAGTATAAAGTTCCATGTTCTAGTTCCAAGGTGACATAGAGGGTAATGCTTCAGACTGATCCAAGTGTGGATTATCCTTTCAATGACACAGCTTTTGTTAAAGCCTTCTGCAAACTCAGCATCCTAACTTTTGACTGTCTTAATACATGAACCACCATGCCAGCTGAATTGTTGAGATGGTGTATTGCCAACTTTTTGCTTAGGCTGGCTTCAAACTTTGTTCCTCCTATCTCTACCTCACAAGTAGCTAGAATTACAGGTTTGTACTACCATGTCTGGCCTAATTAAACTTTTGAACTTTTAAACTGCACAGATTCATGTGCAGCTAAGAAATAGTACAGGGAAAAATCCAGACATGGTGGCCCAACTCAGTAATTTACTTACTTGGGAGAGAGAGCAGAGGATTATGGTTCAAGGCCATTAAAAAAAAATCCACAAAACCATCTTCATCCAATTGCTGTGTAAGTGGCAGGAGCCTATTATCCTAGCTACAAGGGAAGCACAATGGCTGGGCACAGTGGTGGGCACCTGTCATCCCCAGTAACTCAAGAAGCACATGGGAGGATTTCAGCCCAGGCTGGACTGGATATAAAGACACTGTCATGAAAATACACAAGTGGTAAAGTGCCTGCTTAGCAGGGACTTTAGTTTACAGGGACCCAAGTTCAATCCCTAGTATGATTTAAAAACAAATTACAATACACATATCGGGTACCTTTTACTCAACTTCCTGTAATAGCAGTATCTTTCCAAACTTTACAACCCTTTCCCTTTTATAGCTATACCCCTCCCTTTCCCTCCTTAAGCAGTAACCTGTTCTCCCATAATGTTGACATTTCAAGAATATTATAATGGAATCTTGCAAAACGCAACCTTTAGGGTTTGGCTTTTTTCACTCAGCATACTTTTCTGGGGGTTCAGCAAGACTGTGCTAAGTTTTTCCTCTCTGTTGCTAAGTGTGTGCCCTAACATGGGAATCGAATTATTTGCCTACTAGAGGACATCTCAGATGTTTACAGCTAGTATGAGTACAACTGCTATAAATAGTGCAAGCCAGGGTTTTGTGTAAACTCCTGACTTCTCCTGAATACCCATGGGCATTCAATGGTCACATGGTAGTCAGATGCTATTTCTTAAGCAACTGTCAAACTGTTGTAGCTCAGGTGACTGTGTACACTGTGTCCTCAGCAGCAATGAGGAAGTGACTGTTTCTCCATCTCTTGGCCAGCATCTTTGTTTTGAAACTATGTAATATTATCTCACTGTGGCTTTACTTTGCCTTTCTCTAATAGTTAATGATGTCGAACATCTTTTCATGTGTATTTGCCATCTGTCTTAGTTTGGACTACTAAAATGATATCACAGTATGAATGGCTTATAAATAACAGACTGGCTTATAAACAGCAGGAATTTATTTCTTGCAGTCTGGAGATTGGGAAGACCAACATCAAGGAGGCCAGCAGACTGTGTCTGATAAGGACCAATCTCCAGAGAGTGAAGTCTTTTTATTGAACATCACATGGTGGTAGAGAAATGGGTGTCTCAGACCACTATGATAACGGCACTAATCACATTGGTCGGGGCTCCTCCATGACCCACTCATCTCCCCAAGGCCTCATCTCCTAATAGCAGCCTGGTGAGTTAGAGTGGCAACATGTGAACATAGGTGTCTGGGTGGGACCCATTTAAATGTCTCTTCACATGTTCTGTCAACATTTGAATGCAACGTGGATTCTTTCACTGTTAAAACTGGCAGGGGGCAGGAATCTATAGTAGTCCTAGATACTAATTGTTTGTTACATATGTGATATAAAACTCTTTTCTCCTAATCTGTAACTTGCTTTTTCATTCTCAAAACAGGGTCTACTTTGGGAAGTTTTATTTTTGTCTGATCTATTTTTCATGGGCCAAGCAAAAAACAAAAACAAAACAAAAAAAAACCCTCTTTTCCTAAACCTAGAACCTCAAGATTTTCCTTTATATATATTTTTTCTAAAACTTTTATAGATTCTGTGTTTTAATATTTAAGCCCCTGGTGTGTTCTGTATGAGATGTAAGACTTAGGTCAAAGGTGATGTTTGCCTGAGTATTTCTCATTGCCCAGCAGCATCTGGGGTGCTATCTTCCCTCCATTGAATTGCTTTATACTTTTGTCAAAAACCAGTTGGGCATGTTTGTGTGGGGCTAGATTTGCTCTTCTGTTTAACTGAATATGGATATCTATCTGATTTTTCTTTTTGAAAAAAACCTTTATTCTAGTTTCTTTCCATATAAATTTTAGAAGAATCTTACCTTTACAAAAAAATTTTCAGAAAGACAAAACTGCCAAATGAACCTAAAATAAATGTGAGAGAAACTTCACATTCTCCAGCCTTCTACTTCCTGATCCAGCACATACCTCCATTTTCACTTTTTCCAGTGTTTCATGGTTTGCAGCAAAGATTCCTGGACATGTTTCGTTTTCTTTATACCTAAACATTTCTCTTTTCTCTCTCTCTCCTCTCCTCCCTTTCTCTAAATGGTACTGTTTTTAATTTTCATAGTTTTCAAAGTTCTTCAAAGTCTATAGGAATACTATTAATTTTTGGGTTCACTTGTATTCTCCAAACTTACTAAAAACTTACTCGCTAGTTCTAGAACTGTTTCATGGATTCTTGGGAGCCTTCTGTGTAAGTAATCATATAATTTGCAAGTAAGAACAGTTTTATTCCTTTTCTTGCCTTGGGGCTCTGGCAGTAACTACCTTACTCTATGACGAAAGTGAGGAGAGCAAGCACCTGCTCCATGTTTAGTGGGAATCCGGGATTCATACCTATTACTCCCAGCTACTCAGAGAAGGCCAAAACCTGTAGGATCAAAGTTCAAAACCAACTAGGACAGAAAAGTCCTGAGTCTCCATTTCTACTTAACCAGTAAAACATTGAGCTGGAGTCATGGCTCAAGTGTTAAAACACCACCCAAGAGCAAGCAAGTTGAGAGAGAGTATGAAACCGAGTTGAAGCTCCAGTACCAGCTAAAAATATTGAAAAGCTAATAAAAGCAAATAAGTAAAATTGGCAATTACTGTAGCCCTTGAGAAAACACAGGCTCATGATTTAAATGCTACTGAATTTGCTGATAACTTAAGGATTTTAAAGTATCTTTATTCATGAAGAACATGAACCTGTAGTCTTTTTTTTTTTTCTCCTACTATCTGAAAGACTTGCCTTTTCCCTTCTTGGCTCAATCTTTTTAAGTACCCAAATATGGAATATGAAGTATTGCCCCCCACCGTGTTTTCCCAGGTGCATACAGATACCAAGCAGGCTGTAAGTACAGACTGCCTGACGCCACCAGGACAATCTATCTAAGCCTGGCTGTAAACACTCCACCACAGGCCCAACTGAAAAGCCCTTGACCTAGTGGCTCTTCACTAACCTCTGCCTCCGTGCTGGACCCCATAAAACCCCATTCCTGAGCCCATCTCCTTACACAAATCTCCAAACCCGCGGGAAGGTCTGATTCCCTTGCTGGCAATAAACAGTCCTAGCCTGTTGAGATCGAGTCTGGCCTGTTCTATCCTTTCTCGTCCACTTTCTTAACACTGTCATTATTGAGTTTTGTAAGTGAGATACTACTAGCTTTATAAATGAAGTGTTAGTGTTGAGTGGACCTGGGAGGCCCAGCTCCCTACCAGGCCTCTACCAACACCTTCCTAGCTGGGAGCAGTGTGTCTCATTTGTGATGGGATGGAACCTCCATGCAGCTATCCTCCCCACAAGGCGGATGACAGGCCTGGTTCTCTCTGACATTCCCCTGGTAGGGACTGAAGCCCTCAGCACAGCCTGGTGAGATGATATCTGGGCACCTCTTGACCTTTGCTGGTGTTGGTAGAGTGAGGCCACAGGTTTTTCTGGTGCGTGGCCAGAATAGAGCAATCACTGTCTATCCATTTCCTATCTTGCTAAGCTAGCTGATCCCTTGACTAGAGGAGCAGACTTCTGTTGAAGCTCTTTGGGTCAAAGCTCTGGGGTTTCCAGCCTGTCAACTTCTTCAGTTCTAAGTCAGGATACATGAAGCAAAAAGGAAACCTAGAAAAGTCATAATGGGTCCTGAGGGCTTCAAGTCCAATTCCCTTCTCTCTACTCTTAAAGAGTATTTTCATGCTGATTTAATATAATATCCAGGAGCACTAGCTTAGTCAGCCAGAGGAATGGAGAAACTTCTAGAAGTGGAAGTGTTGGTAGTAGTTAAGTATTAAACCAATAATCATGCATGAGGAAGTGTGGGTAAGTGAGGAGCTAGTCACAGAGGAAAGGAGATGGAAGATAGGCTTAAACTTTTGTGGCTACTGTTTTCTGCCATTTGAATTTGGTACCACATGAATACTTCACCTATTCAAACTAGCAAGTAAAAAAAAATATTAAAATGTATTATTTTAGGGCTCAGGTGTAGCTCAGTAGTAGAACACTTACCTAGCATATGTGAGGCCCTAGGTTTGATATCTACCTCAAAAAAATCTGTTATCCAACATTCCTAAGAAAATTTTATTTCATTGGCCAGAAACAAAGAACCACTAGGAAGAAAAAGGAAGAAGAAGACAAAGTAACACTCTGTCTTTTTGAGTTGCCAAAGTCTGTTATTGTGCATGGATAGCACATGGAAGAGTGTGGGCTAGTCCAAGAAAAGTTAGTTGAAATAACTTTACC